CAAGTTACCCTGTTTAATCTAGATGCATAATTTCAACTAAGCAAAGTGAAAAAATCCATAGGATCTAAGCTTTCATCTTAACGGCTGTGCAAGGACAACCGCAGTAGAAGCCTTTCCTTCACACCGTTGTCCTTAATTTGTAGTTTAGCCCATTTCACAAGGAATACGTGGAAGAACTGTTGCCAGTGTTTTTAGTCATTTTCACCATGTTATTACTGCAGAACACAACTTCATTGCTGTGTGATGTGCTTCAAATGTCTAGATAAAGACATGAGGGACACTTTCAGGCACACTTAAATGTAAAAGACCACTCACGGGCCGAAATAGAGTATCGACAGTCTTCTTAACAGCAAGATTTCTGCACCAAAGCAGCATGGCACAGCTTTTTGCCTTCCAACTTACCTCTAAAACTACACTCGCTGCTTTTACAGGCCTTGCCGATTCTAAAGGTCAGTTTCTGTACCGTTAGCCAAGAGCAGGCAAGCACCACATCACTGCCTGTTCTCTCCCAGCTGTTCCTAGTGCCTGTTCGATGCGAGTCCCTGTGCACTGCCAGCTGACTCTGCTGGAGAACGTTCACAAAAAACATGAAGCTACAAGCATGTGTGTTAAGCTACAGGAAAGGTTACGAGTCGTTCAGAGGCGCCAAAACCCTAAGTTGTCACAGCAGCCTTTGATGAGCCTCCTGATCAACATTCAGTGATTATTCAGCATGTCCTAAAAAACACCTCAGGTTACCTTACATGAAGATGACAGGTGCCTTGGGGGTTTTTGGAGAGTTTTTGGACAGCTTGTTTGTTTGCTTTGCATTTTTGTTCATTTATTTTAAAGGATAATCTTATTTATAAAAACATAAAAACCCCATTCAAACTGAAGCATGCAACATTTCTGAAAAGCACTAAAATGATTTAAGCCCTACTGAAATAAAGCAAGCACTTAGTACAAGCAGAAGAGGGAATGCTGCACATATCCCCCACTTCTGTTGCTCCACCAGAGGCGAAGCATTTTGGTAGCAGAGATGAAACACCTGGACTCTAAACTCTGCTGCAATACAATGTCAGAGCCAGTGCACTTCATCCTGATCAGTTTGACTACACAGACTATTCCCAGACACAATCCCTACAAGCCCCATTAATCAATCAAGGACTTTGCTAACGCCCCATCCCAACCATCTCTCTTACACCAAGGAAGTGCGGGATCTCGCCAACAGGGCACAGGATTTGGTCCTGCTCAAGGGAAAACAATCTCTAACTACAGGAATTTCTCTCCCTTTTCAAAGGCAGAACATGGTGTTTCTACACCATGAGTTGACTTGCCAATTTCTGAAAAGAATGTCATATTATTACTTATTTTTGCAGGCCATTTTTCAAATAAACTTGTCTGTGTATAATCACATGAAAATAGTTCTGGTCTCATAGTTACAACTTGTGCTCCACGCCAAGGCACCAATACTGTGGACAAGCAACTACTGCACAAAACTCGCAGCCATCATTTTTATTTCATAAAAAAATCATATTTCTCGTTTCATCAAAGCTAGTTAATGAATTAAAATACACCAGACTGTATGCAGCTCCCTAATGCCACTATGCAATTTGGTCTTCAAAGAACCTGCATATGAAAAGCAAGATTATCTTGACTCACTGCCTCCACAAAGTGTTGGGAAAGCAAATAAAATGTTTGCGTAACATAGTCTTATGCTTACTAAAGAAAAAAATTCTTGACAGCAATTACTAGATAGAAGAACAAATCCACCACATCTGGGTAGAAATTTGAAGAGCACTTATGCTGTTCACCAGTTCCTACTTGTTCCAAGTGCTTAAGGGACACCAGTTTTACTAAATGTGAGTTTGCAAAGAACAAATGCTTGTTAATGAGTGAGATTTTACCTTTCGAGCCTGTTCCTCAGCTCGTTCTTTCTTGATTTTTTCCAGTTCAGCCAGAAGAGCTGCAGTGTCGTCATCATCACTGTCTTCCAAATCTTCATCTTCATCATCTTCCTAATAGCAACAAATGGAAATAAGCAGCAGCTCATTCAGTTCATTTGCCACAAAGAGCCCCCATCCGCCCAGCCCAGCTACTGCTGCAATTTGCTGCTGCTTAATTTCCAAAGTACGTGGGTGCTTGTAACAGCAGCAAATATAATACATCTGATTTATTTGTTCTTGTACAGTAAAGACAAAACATTTTGTGCTTCTTTGTGCAATTAATTGGCATGAAGAGAGGAACCAAGAGCAAGAATCCACTGCTCATGCAGACAATATCTCAACAGTTCTACCTTTGGCGAATTCTAACTCACTCAGCTGTTGACCAAGTCTAAAAAGTCACCCCTTCCCCATACTTTAAGTGGTATTTTCAGTTCCCTAGGTTTTGTGTGTTTTACAAGAATACCATTACAGCATGGGCCAGAATCCTCTGAACCACCCTGGACTTCCACCACAGTAGAGTAACTGTAAAAGGAAGATATGCTGGAACCTGCCTTAAATCTTTAACGGACCTAAAAGTACATGTTCCATTAACCGCAAATCCCAAAGGCAGAATGATGAAAGCAAATAAGGCATTAAAAAAAAAAAAGATACATACATCAGTAAGAGGATCGTCTGCATCAAGATTTGCCGCAGGAATCTGGTCTAGTCGAGGTTTCTTAGACACTGAAGATGATGTTGTGTGCTCTATGGCATAAGATTTAAAGAAAACAAAAGTGACTAAGTCACTCATTCAACAGCATCTAATATCAGAAAGCAAAAATCTTCATAATTTGTCTTGCATTAGAGTAGGAGACAGAAGCTTAAACTTATTTTTCCCTCACTTCTCTATCTTAATGCCCATGCTAATTCCTTCCCTGTAGATATCCTCAAGGGAAGCAGTAACATCCCCAAACTTACAATTTGGCCTCCAGAAGTTTTTTGAAGTCATTACTTCAAGAAGAATGAACAGCAGAAAAAATAGCTGTGGAGAAATATCCTTATTCTATATATCCAATTGACAGGTTCCCATTGAAGGCAACCTCAAAGACCACTGTTGGCTAGTTTGGTCTAAACCACATTTGCTTTCCTCTGTGAATTCCAAAGCCCCACAATATTATCGCACCTAAACCTGAAGTACCTGAATTTTGTCAAGCTTAATACCAAATAACAAGTATTTCTAAAAAAAAACCCCTTTGGTTTTCACTTTAATTATCACTGCACTATATCTGAACAGAATCACACAGTTTGAAAATGGATTTTTTGTTACACTGGTGCTGTGACACTAGAAGATGAGTCATTCCCTTTCTCCTTCCTGTCTCGCTTGTCCAACTACCAAAAAAAAAAAAAAAGCCCTTTATTAGCTGTACATTCTTGTTGCCAGTTCATTATAATCATACTTTATCAGCTGGTCTGGTTGATGGCCTATGCTTTGCCACCGGCTGGCCTAGATTTCTGTCAACACGAAGCCAACACGAAAGCCAGTGGACATTCCCTTGCAGGTCAACAGCTCTGAACTATCAGGCCAATTCCCTGAATTCTACTCTCATGACATGCCGTCTGCGACCTGCAAACTCCCTACAACACTGAGTTTTGTGCAAGAACAACATCACACAAAGGCATGAAGATTTTTGTTTCTTTGAGTTTACCTCTGTTTGGTCTGTCTCTGTTCTTTTCTCTTGCAGCAACACGTTCTCTCTCCTCCAGCTCCCTTCTGAAATCACGGTTACGCACCTCTTCAGGAGCATCCTGAGTGGCCTGTCTAGAACAACAGGAAACGGGGAGAAAACCAGCTGAAGTTGACAGTCTGCAGACGGGAGCAAATTTTTTCAAGGAGGCCAATAAATCATGGGCTGAACAGGTAAGAATAAAGAACAAGAACTGAGGACCACATAGCCATACGTTTGGTTATTCCTCAGCCCCCTCCTGTGCACGCGTTACACACACAGAGCCATGCAACACCACACACTCACAAGCTCCTTCCAGCTCTCAAATGAGTTTAAAAACCCTAAATAAATTCCTACAAAACCGGTATGACTACATCTCCTTTTTGTAGCTACGTCTACATCTTCTGCTCTCCAGCAGCCCGATCTCAGTGTTCTAGCAGAGATCCACGAGCATTAGAGTCAATTTTCCTCACTGTTTTATCATCCAAAGTGGCTGCTGCAAACCCAGGCTCTAAGGCTTACAGATAAGACCAAGACTAGAATAGAATTTTCATAAGCCTTTTCCCCTCTAAGAGGCCTACCTGATAATGTCCCATGACCATTAAAAAGCACAAGCTGGGAAAACAGGCAAAACACTAGTGTTAGTGAAAAATACTGCAAATATATGGTTTTCCCTCTTTTATATAAGACTCACAGGCCAAAAGCAACAGACTATTTATATTTGAGTCACCCTAAGTTCCACCCAGAGAGCATTGAATTTTCTGTGAAAATCCTGAAAAGAGCTAATGAATAAAAACAAGCAGCAATTCCTTTCACCTTTCTGTGAACTCATTGCTGGAAATCAGAGTGCTTGGAAGAAACCCAGACCTGAGCCATTATAAATACATTGTGAGCGCAGCCTGTCTTCATTATGAAGTATTTCATTTGCTTTTTTAATTAAAAACCTGAACTTGGAATCCCTGATATAGCCATAAAATCCTCCCAAACTCTGTGTCATTCAAGTAAACATCAACGGGACTGAAACACTGAACTTTTCATGCAATGATGCTGTCCTAGAAATTTAACAGACAACTTTGTTAGGTATTTTTGGAGAAATAACAGAAGACACTTAATGCCTCCTGCATCTCCCTCTCTCTCATGCACACAGAGGGATTAGTTAAAACATATATCTTATATTTCTGTACATATTTGTCACCACATTTCTTTCACAGAGACAGACTGGTGTTCCAAAACCCACTTTTGTTTAAAGAAGCAAGCCACCGGCAATTTTTCCCATAATAAACCGCATTTGACAGCACTTTTTTGTGATATTAATTTTGGTATTCTCCAAAACACCCCAACTTCCTTAACTGTATGTATTTTTAAAAAACAAAGGGGCAGGAGGGAAGCAGTGAAAAGGTAAACATCTGTGCCAAGAAGTGCAAACATAAGACCTTAACAGTAATTTCACTGACACGGGTAACGCCAGTTAGATAGAAAGAACATTTTTAGGCTGACACATTTCATTTAAATTCCAGGTAGCTGTATCAGAATGACTCTTTTTCAAAAGGATAATGAAGATTTATTATGCATTTCAAACAGCAGAAAATACTCCAAAGATCTCATTCTTTCTCAAAGATTAAAGCAATTTCCTCTCCTGGAACCTAAACGAACCACATGCAGAGTTTAACATCAGCTCTTCCCACAGGTACTACTGCCTGAACACTATTCCATGATTTCTCTGCCTCCTCTTAATATCCTTCCCAAGTGGTCCTTTGCCAAATACATCATGTGGTTTTTCTTTTAAGACAAGCTCAACTTCACTCCTCTTATCCCATCTTGGTCTGCGAGCTGAGCTTGCACCCTCTGTGGCTCACTCCCAATGACAACTCTTTCCACTCCACTGCCTGAAACATTTGGTCTCCAAATCTCACATTCTTCTGATGATGCACTTCCATAAGCAGTAATAAATGCCACTAAAATTAAGCCTTTCCAATCACTTGCAACGCATTCCATCTCCTAGGTCTGCTTTAGAGACTTGTGCTCTCAGCTTGCTCCTTCAGCGCTGCCGCACAACCTCTGGTGTTGGCTCAGTGACAAGCACATAAGCATCTCTTGTGAAATTTCAGAGAACGGCTCGTAACAAAAAATTATTCCCAATTTGTTTAGCTGTAAAATGAAAAAAACCCAATACTAACCTGTATTTGATTTTAGTATGAGAAGGAAGGTCTCTGCTGGAATACTGTTTGGATAGCTGACTTAAGTCTCCTTCACCTTTTCCTCTTCCTCCTCTCGCAGGTTCAAACGTTGGCCTCGCTGCTGTCGTCATTTTAACTACTACAGCATCAATGGATAAAACCAGTCATTACTACAACTTACACCAAAAGACATTCACTAGAAGCTGCTTTGTTCCTGGAACTGTAGAAGCAAGGACAAGTCCCGCTACAGAACACCAGCTATCACTCAGTTCATGACTCTCAAAATTCGAGGAGCTTTTTATTGACAGAATCTATTCAGATTTGCAAAATAAAGTCACGCCTGAGAGGTGATACACAGACTCTACAAGAACATGAAGCTGCGTTTGCAAAGTAAATAAAACCAGCCAGGAAGAGGTCTACTATCCTTAGGGCAAGCTGTAGAGTCTTCTAAATAAACGCTTTCCTCTCCTGAAAAATGGCAGCCTATTGGGAATGACCTCTTCATTATTCCCCAAACCACACTGAGGTATCATCACCAGAAATACTGGCTGGCACGGACTGCTGTATTAACATCGCAGCACTGTCATTTGGAACCGACCTGCGCAGAGCCCCAATGGGTCACCAAAACCTTCTGAAGGGCCAGGGTTAACATCACCTTGGTAGCACAAGGTTGACGGCTTTACCCTTATATGTAAACAAAGGGCAATTTAAAAAGCTCAGAGAAATGCAGAAGTTTTCACCGGCTCTCACTCAGGAACTGCTGGAACTCACACACCACCAGAATGTTGTAAAAAATGAACTTGCTGATGCCCCAAATCACAACTATCAATTCTTTGTCAAAGGAGTGAAACAGACTCTAACCAGTCTCAGCCACACCGACACGCTGTCAGCATGCGCTGTGTTCAGCACTGCTGGGCAGGAGATGGAGACCCTGCAATCCTAAATCACTGTGCCAAGAATTAAGGCAGTTAACCAGTGCCAAAAAACCCTGCATGATCAACCAGTGCCACCTTAAATCTGCTATCTGAAACTATGCTCACCCTTGCTTCACCAAAACATGCATATCCATTAACTGCAGACTAAAGATACAGAAGAAACAAGAGACATCTACACAGATGCATAATGGCACCAGTCCTATCAACCACAAAGTTCAATGACAAAGGATGACAAAAGTATATTAAAGAATATTAAAAAGCAAAGAAAAAACCATGATATTGCTTCATGTGCTTTTGTGATACACAACTAAAAGCTATTTATGCTCATTTTGCATTGTTATTTTTTCACTTGTAATGAATCACAAAAACCATTACTTCAGTGTTAAAACTATAAAATAATTCGTCTCTCAAACTAACATCTCATCAGGCAGAGGAGTTACTGCCATTGAAGTACTACTTGGAAAACAAAATTAATAGACAGAAATACATTTAAAAAGAAGGGAGACAGTAACTAGCCTTGGCTCATTAACCAAGGGTTGCTGACACTTTTCAGTGATTCTGTACAAGCCAGCTGCAGCTCAGCAAGACATCCGAGCTCTGTCTCGGCACAGGCTGCCAGATCCATGATCCAAGAAAGCCACTTGCTCTCAGAATTCACCTCTGCCACATGTAATGGGGTGGATCCACAAATTCAGACGAAGAACCAGATCCAATGCGGCTCCATAGTTTTATGAAGCAGTAAAAAATCCCCTAGAAACTGCCCATCCTTTTCTTAAGTCATTTATATTCGGCTTCGCAATCTGAAACCACCCATGGACCATCACCCTGACATCTCAAGTGTCCAAATACAGCCCTGGAGGAGCCGCTTTAGCGCTACACGAAGACAGGACTGGCCACGCAGGGGTTATTTATTAGCCAAGAAAAGGCGTCCGGGCTCCCCCGGAGCTGACCTGCCCCAGCTCCACGCTACAGCCGGGCCGGGAGGCCCCGCACC